AAGTAGAACACTGACGGGGTATTGGCATTGGGACTATCAGTTGGACTCCAAATATTGATACGTTGCATTTCCATGTATCCGAGTGCATGTTTGCGTTTATAGAGAGGCGAAGTTTGTGAATCGGTCTCTGAAGCAACGGAGAATCGAATGTTTGCAAATGAGAGAACATTCTCGTTGAAAACGGCGGCGCTACCATCACGCTCTTCATTGACATATTCCTGCAATTTAAAAAGAACTAGAAGGAAAGACGCAGCACACTCAGCGCATCTCTTTACGTCATCTATCATAAACCACACGATTGGCTGATCGCGAAACCCAAACGTTGGGTTCTAAGTTCACAGCGCATCGTAGTCAGCCACTTTGAAGTGTCGACCAACCACAGAGGAGGTGCTGAAGCATAACTCCTATTGACGCTATCTGCATTATACAATCGTGGATTTAGCGACATCTTAGTATCAAGCGATATGTGCAGAACAAAATCAATCATTGACAGTAAAAGGATGAAGAAATGTCATCAGCAACATATGCAGACGATGTGGATTTTCACATATGTTGAAAACATCTACCAAGTTTAATATTCAGTATTTAAATGAAAACTGAAAGAATAAGCGTAAATTGAATCAGTTACTGAATTCACCACGAACTGGGTGATTATTGGAGTGCACCGATTTAGCTTTTACTGCAACTTTGAACCTCAGGTGAAAACAGACAACCGATTCCTGATTTGGATCCAAGCAAAACTACCACGAAACAACCCGAGTCACATACCTTGCATATAGAGGCAGCGGCATCAGACACAACGTCATGCTCATCACCCGATTCTTGCCCGCTACCTACACCAACCATCTGCGTCACATCCTCCCCAACATTACTGGCACCATCATTTTCGTCATCCTCTTCCTCGCCAATTGGAAGGCATCCATGGGCCTCTGCCCATTCGCACCAGGCTTGGTTCGGAGCAAACCGTTGGCCATTCACCGGCAGACCTGCCAACAGCCGCATCGTCTTCTTTGCCAAAAGGTCTGTGTTCTCCAAGTTTCCAAATGAGTTGTTCGGTGATTCAAAATTCGGATGTTCAACGAGGTAGAGCAGGGCCTTTACTACATTCAGCAGATTGTAACAGCTACAAGTTCAAACACATGCCTTTCAGTAAATGTGACATGAAATAAGACGACAGATTGCAAACCGCACATTCTACCACAAAATTAACCAGTAAACACACCTGCCACATGTTTTTCTAAATGGTCCCCTACGTGCTTTTATCTAGTGTAGAGCACTTTTTATTGCGACTCCTCATCACTATGACCTTGCTAGCAATTTTCAGGCGATATTTTACATATTATTTACGTCATCTCATGGCATGACCTCATTGCCGACATCCTTGCACGTATTTGCCGCAGATTTTTACTCAGCAAATAGTGTTCACAGTTTTAGGTCTTCATGTTCAAGTAAACGTTCCGACGTACCTGCGCCATTCATTTAGCAAATTCATACAAACGCTGCCCGATGAATTATCGATGTTGGGATGGAAGATTGGTGAGATGAATAGCACTTTTGGACTCTCCCTTGGATAGAACACGGGACACTTGATCTAGAATATGCACATCCAACATAACATGTTCATACAGATACATCCAAAACACAATCAAATATCTTTCACTTTGATTCGCCTATTAATTCCACACATAATTGTAAATTATTAAGCACGAAACACACATGGACAAATGGGAAATAACTGGATGAAACTATCAAATTTTGTGAAGCCGCACGCCCGCATCACGTAGCACTTTCTATACATCCTCAATAATTGCTCAGCGCGTACTCACCTTCACAGTGAAGGCAGCATGTGCGTTGTAACCAGATTTGGGGTGCAGCGAGATCACAACTGACATTTCACCGGCGCAGATTATGGAAGCCTGACCATCTGTTGAAGTCTCAATCGTCCGGTACAGTTGCTGAACGTCCTTAGGATATGAACGCTGAGTTATTGAATGCGACATCTGTAAGGGAAAAGAGTTTAGTACATCTGGCATGTTGATCAGATAGCATCACGAATTCAGGACGATGAGGTATCAAATTCCGCCATGCAGGTTACTGGCGCAAAGGTCACAAAATAACGGCAATAGTTAATTTGTGAAACTGATTACATAATCCCTTAATCCTGTACACTTCTGCATTCTTATGAAAACCAAGAGTTATGAAAGATAAGCATTCGGTATTTGAAATGAAAATGGAATCACGGTTACAAAAATGAGACGATTTGGAACTGTCGACAGTGTGTTTTCCCAAACAACAAAGATCAAGGTAATAAACAGCCAATATAGTAAATGCTAAACAGTGAACGTAAAGAAACGATTTCAACACTTTAAACACTAGTCAACATGAGTAGCGCTTGTTCAGTAAAGGAATTGCAATCGGCCATCAGTGAAATGGCTGTTAAAACAACAGATAAATGTAAAAACAACGCGTTATGTTGCAAGCAGCTCATCAAGAAAGCATCTACCTTGCGGACGACAGTAGGGCATTTAAAGTTTGCACTTGCAGTTTATGCAATCGTGTCTTTTAAACTACTGTATTTGGTCATTCCTCCACCAAAAGCACTTCCTAAAGGAGATATGTGTTCCAAACATAGATCGTTGTTTGTGTAGATAGCTCCATATGACTTCCCATCAAACCTAGAACATCCATCAACTGTAATGCACAGAACCAACTAAAAATGCTCATTGGCTGAAGGATAAACGGTAAAATATGCTCTTGCCGCAGGCCATATTTACAACGACTTTTTATTGACAAAAACAGTACAACCGCTGTTATAATGACGTGTTTTGCAGAAAGCAGGAACTTAGCCTTGGTCACGCCAAACAGTCGTTAATATTGCTCATAAAATTGCTTTATTAAATATTTTATTTCCTGTTAGAATTTTACTTATTTAACCTCTCTCTATTGTGAATGTTACTTAAAGGTCATGTTTGCACCTTTACATAGGCGTAGTAGGTTTTCACCGTCGAACATTACGTATACTCCAAGGTCAATCAAGCCTTAATTTGTCCTGCACACAACAGTTTGCGTAGGTAACTAGCAGCAAATAAATTTCTCTAACTATCGTAGGCCGGCTTTTCTTTATTTTTAGCGCCATTCTCAAATTTCCTTTTGCACTGTAATGCTTTGAATTAAATCCAACTAATGTACAAACTTGGTTTTATTCTTTTGGCTTAGTTGGCCTTGGGATGTCAAATTGTACTCAACATTACTCTGTACATACTAACCTTACGAGTGCTTATATCCACGGAACCAATGTTTAATGCTCAATATTCCTCGGTTTAGTTGTGCTAATTAGGGCATTTCAGTTGTGTGCTTGTCGTCAATAAAGCGAAACCCTAGTCATGCGGTTGGGAACGGTGCCAAGTTCAAAAATTAGTTTAGCCTTGCAAACGTCGTCAAAAGCGAGCACTGTCTTCTGTGAGTTGGCTGTGGATGTGGCAGTTGCACGATCTAACTACAGTACCGACAATGAGGCCTCACTAAACTTTTCAAGGTTTCGTAGTTCAAACTTTAAGTCACTGTGGTTACTTCATTTAGTTAAAAGAAAACCAACATACTGCAAATATGCAAGGCTAAATTTGGCCCAGATGGAAATCTAGAAGAACAAGAAAGGCTCTGAACATTGGCAATAGTTAAGCCCTATATTCAGTAATTAAATCCTTACAATTTCCTCTAAATAGAGCTGCTTTTTTTAATTGACATTATCAGGTTTCTGTTCAAACATCTCATTTTTAATAAATGAGCAGTGTTTTAATGTTTACCAATTTGGTGAATTCTGTGCTAGCAATGCCATATTTTGACGGAAACACGTCTAGACCACACATAAACACTCTGGCAGCTTCCGTTGGTATCATAAGTGACTAAGTAGATTCATCAAGACCAGCATATTCACATAAATCCAGCATCTCTGTTAATGAAAACTAACAGAGGCAGTCTTTTAACTAAAATCAAGATAAGACCGTATTTGAACGCACACACTGACGCGTGTCTTGTTGAATGTGCACATTTTATAGTATATAGCTCATGTCTTTCCTAAGCAACGTTTGAGAGGTGACGCTCTAATCACCGATCTTCAGTCCAAATACAACATACTGGAATGCATTTGTCAATTCTTCTCTAGCAAAATAGCTTAGGAGCATCTTTTATTTGAGAGTGAATGCAGAACCTCGGATACACTCTATCCCGATTAGTACTGCACAGCACTTCATCGCTCAAGTGCATGTACCGACGTCATGAAATGACACGACTTACTACAGTTAGGCTTATTTGCTTTGGGATGTCAAATCGTATTCAACATTAGCCTGCCTTCAAAATGCTTATATCCACGAAACTAATTGTTAGTGCTCAATATTCCTCGTTTATTTTATGCTAATTAGGGCATTTGAGTTGTGTGCTTGTCGTCAACAAAGCAACACCCTAGTCATGTACTGGAGAACAGTGCCAAGTTCACAAAATTAGTTTAGCCAAGCAAATGTCATCAAAAGCGAGCACAGTCTGTGAAGTATGGTGGTGTGGTGGTTGCACGATCTAACTGCCGTACGGACACTGATGCCTCACTAAGCTTGCCAAAGTTTTCGTGGTCCAAAATTCAATTCATAATTTTTACTTCAATTTGAAGAAAAAAAACCAACACACTGCACATCTAGAAGGCTAAATAAGGCCCTGAACATTTGCAAAAATTTTGCTCTATGCTCAACGATTATACCCCTAGCATTTCCTCTAAATAGAGCCGGTTCTCTTGTTTGACGTTATCAGGTTTCTTTTCAAAAAATCGCAATTGTGAAAAGTGGACAGTGTTGTCATGTTTAACAATTTGGTGAATTCTGTGCTAGTAAGGCCATATTTTGACAGAACGACGAATAGACCACAAATGAGAACTCTTGCAGCTTATCTGTGCGCATCGTAAGCAACTTACTAAATTTCTCAAGACTTGCTGATTTGCATAACTCCAGCATCTCTGTTAATGAAAACTAAGTCGATGCAGTCTTTTAACTGAAACCGAGATAAAACCATTTTTGAATGTACTCACTGAAGCGTATCTTGTTAAATGTGCATATATTATTGAAGATATCCCATGTCTTTTCTACGCGACGTTTAAGAGGTGACGCTCTAACAATCGATCTTTCATCTAAATATTAACAACGAACAGAAAAGCATTTGTCAATACTTCTCTAGTAAAGTGGCTTTAAGGCACCTTTTACTTGATTGTGAATGCAGAACCTCGGATCAACTCTTCCTTGAATAACACTGCGCGGCACACCATCACTCGAGTGCGTGTAACGACGTCTTGGTATGACACGATTGTCTACAGTTTAGCATTTCAACTAGCTTGGTAAAGACCGTGTTCAACGAAATGCTGACTCGAGAGGCTGTCATCATTTGTGGTAAGAAGTCGAGAGTGCCCTGGAGAAAATGGAATTATTATTGCATGAATCGGTGTGGTGTGATTGAAATTGAATGGGTTACAATGATATATCACAATTATGTGGGGGTTAAGAAAGGTGTCTGTGCTGTTTTAACATGTAGCTGTCACAGTCTGCTGAATCCAGTGAAGGCTCTCCTCTACCTCATTGAAAATTCGATTTTTGAATCAGCAAACAACTCATTTGCATAGCTGGAGAACAGAGACATGTTGGCAAAGAAGACGATGTGGATGTTGGCAGGTCTGCCTGAAAATAGCCAAGAGTTTGCTCCGAACCAGGCATGGTGCGAGTGGGCAGAGGCCAACGGATGCCTTCCAGTTGGTGAGGAAGATGACGACCAGCAACATAGAGGGCATTTTCTGGGACAGGCAGTTTGTGTAAATTGCATACAGGTAGTTGTCAATGAGTACACCAATACCGTAGATTTAGTTGAGGTAGGTGACGTGGGTTGTCTAGTGGGATTCTGCTTGAATCCAGATCTGGAATTATTTGCGTGAGTCTGCAGAAGAATCACAACTGCAGTATAAAATCAAATTGTGCAAAAACCTCCTTATTCACACTTTGTTACGTGCCTGAATGCTAAATTGGTTTGTCATCAGTCGTTGAGTTTGTACTTGGGTACTGACTGTTAAATCCCATATATATTTATGACCTCGTGATTTTGATCTTCCACATCGTCAGAATTTGGGATTAGTGACGTGTCTTCATCACTACAGCTAAGTCAATTACAGAACGCAATATCACATTGCCTGAAGTAGCAAATCAATTACGATTGCTGCCTTTGCTCTGAATATTGATACAGTTTGCTTGCTTTATTGAGGAACTTCTAACCGTAACTCAAAATCTGTGTCCAATGTCGTCAAAGCCTTCCAATATTTCCTCAAAGCCTGGCGCTCAACCATCTGCCTCAATTAGGAACTACGTATCTCCTCAAATCCATGGTGGTCCTGAGAACATATAACGAGAGTGTCACGGCATTTGAATCACTTGCGACAATTTACTCAAATCGATTGTCAGATTATCGTGACTACTGTGACGTGTCAATGTGTTCTAGAGAACGCGATGACTAAATCTATATGAATGGGATCTACACATGTCAAATGGTGGTTTATCGAAACAAAACGTAAATGAATTTGCGTGATTGAGCGACCCTACGACCTTGGTGGCTTGGATACAGGCTTGCACCCAATAAACGAAGACGCAGCACTCATGTGAAAATACTATTTACCTTAGGCGTTTTAGAAAATTTAGTGACTCGTCGATTCAGCTATGATAGAAATACACACTTTCACGGTAAAGAACATAACACAATCTATCTAACACTTCTCCTACGCACTGATAAGCTTTGCATTGTCGAAAGAATCCTCTCTCATTTGTAAACCAAACAAGCAAAACTGTATTTCATTCACCTACCACTTCAGTAATTCAATTGTCTTGCTCCATGGAGTGTCAAATAGGAAAATTGTAGTAAATTTTAACTCACACATTAAGATTGAGTTATTGTGAAATACGAAAAATCCCAAGCTATTACTCCA